AGAAGAAAACTACTTCATCACATACATGGCATATTCTGGATTAATTTTTAATTTTTGGATTAATACATGTATGCAACAAACACCATGTTTCCCCAAAAATAGGACCTCCCCGGATAATAAGCCCAATTAGGCTTTTGAGCACATGCACTAAAATAATCCCTCCCCAAAAATAATCCCTCCCTGATAATATTGCAACACAGCAGCAGCCATGAGGTGACCATACTCACCGCCTCCTGCACTTCAAATATAGTAAGACCTCCCTGAAAATAAGGCCAGGTGCATATTTGGGGGTCAAAAGAAAATAAGACCCTGTCTTATTTTCGGGGACACATGGGTAATAGTAACTATTTTCCCTCTTGGTTCTAAAGTTCTTATGTATGTAGGAACTTTGTATGTAGGTATATGCTGTCCTTTTTTAAAAATTAAAAAAAAAGATGATTCTGGATGAAAGTGATTAATTTGTATGGTACCTTTCTATTGATCCCAGAATCCTCAAAATGGATTAGGAAAGGGAACTCACGCCATCTGTGTCTTTATGTTGGGAATAGGAAAAAATAAAGTTCAGAGCTTCAAAGTTGAGATGGCCTTGATTTGAGCAAAAAAAAAGATAAGCAATTAGTGGTTTTTTTCAAATTGCTCTGAAAATGGCATCTTTGGAATTTGAAAAAGACATCCCTTAATTTTCAGTCTAAACTATATACTCTTTTGAAGCTCTCAAAGCACATTGCTATATATATAATTGTAAATGTATATTTATACCTTTGAGTCAGTCTTGACTCCTGATATGGACAAATCCATGCAGTTTCCTTTGGAAGTGGTTTGACCTTGCCTCCTTCCTAGGCTGAGAGAGAGGGGCTGGCTCAAAGTCATTGAGGCAGGACAAGAATTCAGTCTCCTGATTTCTAGTCCAGTGTCTTTAATCACTGAACAAAATGGGCTTCCATAGCTATAAATACATGTATCTAAAAGAGGAATATGTTACTGTTGTTCCAAAATAAATAATTGGAAGATTTCTGTTAAAGAAGCCATATTTGGAACCCATTCATTTATATAATCCTGTTTAAGGACTGAGAATAAGTAATGACAATATAGACTGGATTTTTTGGATTAGCGAGTTTAGTTCCACAAAATACGAGCTATGCATGTCCGTTAGCTGACCCATGTATTATGACATCCTGTAGACAGGATTATATAAATGAATGGGTTCCAAATATGGCTTCTTTAACAGAAATCTTCCAATTATTTATTTTGGACAACAAGTACATTATTCCCTTTTTAGTACATGGAATTTTTGCTTATGGAAGCCC